CACAGTAGGCCCTTAGGGCCCTGCCTTCTCTCCTGAGGGGAGCCCCAGGCTCTGAGCCAGTGAGTCAGCAGCTGCCCCGCCCACCCACACCTTCCCAGCACCTCCCTTCCCCTGCCCTGGACCACTTCCTCCAGCGTGGGCATCCCCTCCCCTCTCCTCCCTCCACCTCCTAGGGGCACTTCTGAGCCCTGGGGCCRGGACAGAAGGTGGGAGAAGCCCCTGGAAGCCAAGAAGAGGGTGATCTTCTTACACTGACCACACCACCCAGTCCCTGCCCACCCCTGGCCTGAACTTCAGCTCCTACCCGGTTGGTTCCTGGTGGGCTAAGAGCTGGGTGTCCCCCTGCCCCTTTAACACGTCCTGGGTGGTGGGGCCACAGCCTGGGACACAGTGCATGGCTTCCTCTCTGGGGGGCTCCCTGACTCCCCTGTGTCTGCTTGAACCCTCCATGGCCTGAACTTGAAGTTAACTGCTGACCCCAGATTCGTCCACCTGTCGCCTGGCTGCTCAGGTTCCTGTCTGGACAATCAGAAAAGTCTAGGGTCCTCAGGGTTGCTCGAGGTGACCTGGGGCAGGCACCCCCACCTACCGCRGGCCGTTATTTGTGGGCCCAGGTGATAAGGGGCACCCCCCCCCCAGCCTCCCTATATTCCTCAGGCTGCCCTGGGAGGGTCTGCAGGTCCCAGAGAGCTGCTCCAACTCAGTCCTGTGACTCTCTGCGTTGACACAGTTGGCATCTGGGTGAGGGAGCGAGTGAGGCCTGCCAGCCACTGGCTCCATGGGGTCAACAGAGAGGGTTCCACTGGGCGTCACAGGGGAAGCCCAGGGACGCTTATTTTCTGTTTCTGAATAATTCAGTTGAAGAAGCCATCTGGAACTTCCCAGGCAGTTTCTCCTGGTGCCCTGGGGGACTGTCGGCAGAAGGTAGTTTTTAAGGATTTTTATAAACTCTCCCAAGAAGAATCAGAAGTTCCACGTTCCTCCAGGGCAGGGATCCCCCAGGTAGTTGTCAGAGAGCAGAGAAGGCACAGAGTGGCTCCCTGCTGGCCGCCCCGAGAGGCTAGGTCTGGAGGCTGGACACATGAGGGACCAAGGCTCTGCTCAGTGGGGTGCTTAGCTCTTCAGAGGAGCCATCCCTGACTGTCCTTTAAAAGTGTTCCCTCCGGGGCTGGGGATGTGGCTCAAGCGGTAGCGCGCTCGCCCGGGTTCGATCCTCAGCACCACATACAAACAAAGATGTTGTGTCCGCCGAGAACTAAAAAATAAATATTAAAAACTCTCTCTCTCTCTCTCTCTCTCTCTCTTTAAAAAAAAAAAAAAGTGTTCCCTCCAGCTGGGCACAAGTCTGTAATCCTAGTGATTCCAGAGGCTGAGGCAGGAGGATCACAAGTTTCAGGAATTTCGTGAGGCCCTAAGCAACTTTGTGACACCCTGTCTCAAAATAAAACAAATAAAAAGGGCTGGGAATGTGGCTCAGTGGTGAAGTGACCCTGGGACCAAAAAAAAAAAAAAAAGGAATATTTCTATTGCGCCTGGTGTACTTGGCTGATTGTTGCTGGTATGTTGGATGCAGGTGTTGCATGATCCAGGAGCTGTTCCAGAAGATTCAGGTTCAGCTCCTGGTGGTGCCCTTGCTGGGTGATCCTGATTGAGTCACTAGCTTTCTCTGGGCTAGAAAGCTACTGCTGTTGTGGTAAAGAAGGGAGGAAATCATGGCAGACTTCCTGGAGAGGGCAGCTTGAAGCTGGCCCTGAAGACCGAGAAGCTGGGCAGGAGACACAGGAATCTCATGCACTCTCCCCAGCCCCAAGAGTCCTGAGGTTCAGAAACTCAGACTGAACCAAGAACATCCCAAGAACAGGGGAGGAGGCCAGGAGAGCCAGCTTGTGTGGCCCAGGGCTGGCAGCTGTTCTCTGTGCTAACAAAGGAGGTGGGGCTAGGAATTCAGACTTTGAAGCAGCCTTCGGACCTTGTCTGGGAGGACATTCCAGGGAACATTTTAGCCTGGGAGAGGGAGGCTTGGCCTCCCGCCTCAGGGGCTCTGAGCCTAGCCTTCTTCACAACTGGCCCTAGGCAGGTGACTTTATCAGTTCTGTCAAAAGGGGATGTGTTTTCTGGAATGTTCCATCTCTCCCTCCCTCATTCATTCCATTCTCTACCTCCCCCCTGCACCTAGTGTGTGCAGGGGTCCTGCCCTCAAGGAGCCCACTCCAGTCTAGCCGGGACTTCTCCTTCCTCCTCAGTTTTTTGCTCTGCAAAATGGAGACTGGACACCCCACCCCCACCCCCCGGCCAGGTAGCGGAGGGACCTGAGTCCCCAGAGCAAGGTGGCAGGGTGCTTTGTGGAGGAGAGCCAGGGAGTAGGCCTTTAGTGAGGACTGTTCAAGTCCCCTTGCCTGGAGGAATTAGGGCAGGGGGCTCCTGTTGGCTGAGCTGGGCCAAGGCTGCTGTGGCTGGGTGGCCCACCCGAGGGACAGATCTGAAACCACACGAGGGCAAAAGTTCCCAAGCAAAGAAGAACTGGCCCACTTCCTCTCCCGCCCCGGTCTCCCCCTGCCTCCACTTCCTCTTTTCCTTGTCCCCAGACCTGCTTTCTCTCTCTAGTTCTTCCTGCCCCCACCCCAGGCTCTCTGCCTAGTCCCCTCCTCCACTCGCCATTTTCTCAGGGCCCTTTCTCGGGGCTGAGGAGACCCAGGCTTCATTTATTCACTCAACAGAATGGCACCCTGGGGTGGGTGCAGTGGGAGGAAGTGGGGGTGATGGAGACCTGCAAGGGCTCATTGTCTGATGGGGGAGGCCTAGTTATAAATACCAGCCTGGTGCTGTTGGCATGGCCTGAAGGGGAGAGCAAGGTGTAGAAGCTAAGGGGCTCCCCCTACAAGGGGTCTTCCGGGATGGGTCTTGAAGGATGCATAGGAGAGCACCAGAAAATGGCTGCTGCACATAAGAAGGCACTACCAGGTGGAAGGATGGGCTAGGACTGTTCCAATCTGAGGGCGGGTGAGGCTGGAGCTCCTGCCCCTTGGCTGGCCCCTGGTTGAGAGGAGGTAAAGTGGCAGTGCAGGTCCTTCTTGGTGATCAGGTCTGCTTTGACCCGGTGTGGCTGCCTGGAGCCTCCCGAGAGCCTCCCACCTCCTCCTGGGACACTGGTGGCTAGAATCCTCCTCCTGCACCCCACCAGGGTTCGTGAACAGCCTGAGGCATCCCTGACCAACAGGCAGCAAAGAGGGCCACACTCCCCCACCCCACCCACGGGTGAATTGCAAGGTTGGCGGTCCTGGGGCAGCTGGCGAGGTGCCCAAGACTGGAGAGATACAAGGCCAGGGACAGGGCAGTCCCGTCCCGTCCCCTGAAGGCAGGGAGTGGAAAGGATGGGAAAGTTCACTCAGGCCCAGGGCGGTGACTCGGGGTGGGGGAGAGTTTTGTCAAGTGTCTGGCAGCTCTGTGGGAATGCTAGCTAGGAGCTGCGGCCTCCACTGGGTGCTGGATGGTGGTCCCCCTTCCCACCCCCCCGCTGTGGCTGCTGCAACCTGCAAAGTGCCTTGCCCCCAGCCTCCTACCACGAGAGCTGGCTCAAGTCTCCTCTTCCTAGACCCCAGGTTCCTCATCCATATATGGACTTATCCGTCCCTGGTTTCCACACACAAACTCAATGAGCACCTACTATGTGCGGCAAGGCCCTAAGCAGGCCTTCCCTGCTCCTGTCTGCACCATCCTTCCCAGGTTTCTTTATGTGAAAATGTAGGTTCTCCTCACCAGCACCCAGGAGGTACAAGGTCCTCTAAGTTGAGTCAGATACCCCTCTGGGATGGCAGGGCCCCTGATCCCTGGGTGGGTTTGGCTCCCCCTGCCAGGTGGGCAGCTTCTGGAATACTCCTTTGCACCCACTTCTTGCCTGATGTGCAGTGAACAGACCCAGCGAGAGAAACCGTGACAAGGAGAGGGTCTTCTCTGGCCCGTCTCAAGCTCCGGGCCCCACCCCCAACTCCTCTCTGGCACATCTTTTCTCCCCACAGCCTCCAGATGGTCCAGGAGGACGTTTCAGCTGTGGCTAAACATGACAGACAACGGATGGTGGGCCACCGCCCAGCAGTGCCTGGGCCACTCACTAGCTAACCGCCCAGACTTGGCCTTGGCTGGGTGTGAACTCACAGCCTCGCACACAGTATGGTTCCCTAAGTTTCTTTACTCTGTGGAGCACACTCTCTTCCTAGGCCTGTGGCAGGGGCGGTTTGGAGCTTTCTTCACAGGCCACCTCCAACTATCGGGAGCCTGGAGCCCATCCTGTCTCCTAGAGTGTGGCCCTGAGACTCCTCAGATGCCCAAACCATCCTCCTCTGTCCCTCCAGGTCTGAGCAGGAACCCTGCCACACACTTAGCAAACTGAGCCCCCCCCCCCTTCCGAGCTTTCTGGACCACTGTGGTGCTGCTGGCAAGGGAGTGACTCCTGACCTCCCCGGTGTCCCACATCCCACAAGCTCCTTACACCAGAACCCATGGCAGCCAGGCGCTCAGGCATCTGTGCGGACCCTCGCCCTTTTGGGTGCAATTACCCATGTGACATCCACACCCAGTGGGTCGCGGGGTGGATGGGGGAACAAGAGACGCGCAGGCTGGGCCCAGGCCTGGTCCAGGCCTCGTGGGCTTGGACCGGGCACTATCCAGTGGGGCGTGGGCCACGGGCGCACGCCAGGCCCAAGGGCCCAGCACCCAAGGGCGGCTAACGCCAAAACTCTTCATCCTCTTCCTCAATCAAGCGCGCTCTCTCTCTCTCTCTCTCTCTCTCTCTCTCTCTCTCTCTCTCTCTCTCTCTCTCTCGCTCTCTTTTTTTTTTTTTTTTTTTTGCAAAAGGAGGGGAGAGGGGGTGAAAAAATGCTGCACTGTGCGGCGAGGCCGGTGAGTGAGCGGCGCGCGGCCAATCAGCGCCCGCCGTTCCGAAAGTTGCCTTTTATGGCTCGAGCGGCCGCGGTGGCGCCCTATAAAACCCGGCGGCGCGACGCGCAGCCACTGCCGAGACCGCGTCCATCCTGCGAGTACAGTCTCCTCGCCGCTCCACCGCCGCCAATCCACACCCGCCACCCAGGTAAGGCTCAGGCGTCGTGCAGATCGGCCCCCGACGGGCCCTGAGGCCCCTATGGCCGGGCCCAAGGTGGCTGCGGCCACGTCGCCGCTGCAGAGCCGCAGGCCGCAGTGTAGATATTTAGGGAGCCACCTGGGACGCAGTGTGGGCACTTAAGGAGCCACTGGGCCACTCTGGTTGCTCAGAGAGCCACTAGGGTTGTGGTGTGATCTGGGGAGTCCTTGAGCCGTGGTATGGATACTTGGGAGCCGCTGGGCCGCGGCGTGGACACTTGGGAGAGCCGCGGCTGCGGTGTGGGCGCTTGGGAAGCCACTTTGCTGGTGGGTGGTGGGATGCAACCCTCTAAGCCCAAGGGTTGCAGGGCTGGGTTCGAGGACGCGCTGCATAGTGCAGCCGGGGTAGCTAGCACGTCTTTGTCCGTGCCGGGAGCTCATTCGGCAGAGCCGGCTGGGCCGGGTGGGGGCTGGGGAGCTCCTGCGCGTGCGCGCTGGGATCCGGGACGCTTTTGCTGCGCGCGCCGGGGATAGGGGCGCAGTTGCGCGTGCGCGCTGGGGCCCAGGGTGCCGCGTCCTGGGCTAGGCTAGGGGCGGGGCTGCGAGCCGGAAGGGGTGGGGTTGCCAGGGCGCCTGCGCATGCTTCCTGCCGCGCCGTCGGGTGTGGCTGCAGCGCGCGCGCGCCCGTTCGCCGGGCGCTGTTTGAACGGGCGGAGGCGGGGCCGGCGCCGGGTGGGGAGGGGGCGGGGGCCTGGCTTCCTGCCGCGCGCCGTGGGGCCGCCTCCGACCAGCGTTTGCCTTTTATGGTAATAACGCGGCCGGCCCGGCTTCCTTTGTCCCCGCGCTGGGCGCGCACCGGCGCCCCCTGGCGGCCCGAGGTTGTGCGCGCCGGAAGTAGGCAGGGCGGGGCGCCCGCGACCCCCGGTCACAGTGCCGCTTTGCCASCAGCTCGCCATGGATGACGATATCGCTGCGCTCGTCGTTGACAACGGCTCCGGCATGTGCAAGGCCGGCTTCGCGGGCGACGATGCTCCCCGGGCCGTCTTCCCCTCCATCGTGGGGCGCCCGCGGCACCAGGTAGGGCGGCCAGCCTTCATGTACCCTCCGAGGCTGGTTCTCTGGGGTGGGGTCCTGGGGGCTGCATCCGTGCTGAGTATACCTGCTTATTCCTCCACAGGGTGTGATGGTGGGCATGGGTCAGAAGGATTCCTATGTGGGTGACGAGGCCCAGAGCAAGAGAGGCATCCTGACCCTGAAGTACCCCATTGAGCATGRCATCGTCACCAACTGGGACGACATGGAGAAGATTTGGCACCACACCTTCTACAACGAGCTGCGTGTGGCTCCGGAGGAGCACCCTGTGCTGCTGACCGAGGCTCCCCTGAACCCCAAGGCCAACCGTGAGAAGATGACCCAG